ATGATTATATAATGTATCAACTTCCCATTGTGTTCTAAGTAAGAAATATTTTAATGGCATAAGGACAGTTTTCTACCTAACATTATTTAGGATAGAATTACTATATTTATTTCCAAGTACGGTTGTTTGGTGTTTGGTTGCCGCATTCCTTTTTGGATTATGGGACCAAAGCGGCAGAAATCAAGAAAGCGTATCCTTAAGTATGTAGACAAAGCACATCTAAAACACTGATACTTCTTTCATACCAGTAGGCCTAATGTCGCCATTCTTCAGTATACATTTAGCTTGAAAAATATTAAAGCAATACAGAAAAGCAATAGCCTAAAAAGAATAGTATCCATCATCAGTGTTCTCAAATTCTGTATTTGAAAAACTATTATATTAGTATATTAACCTGCTTTCTAGTATTTCCCTGACACTACTCTGTAACTCTTCCACAGTATTCATTTTACTAATTTTGATTACAGTTTGGTTAAGCATTAATCTACTTTCCCCATTCTGTTTCAGAATTTTTGCATTTGAATTCAGACGAGACAAGTACTAAAGCCACAAGAGAATCAATACCTAATATATTTCTGAATGTAGTCCTCAGCATTTTTATCTTGAATTAAAACAACTTGAAGTGCTCACAGTACCACCTTTAATCAAGTGTAACCATAAACTACAAAGAATTGAAAATGAAATGAGTATAAGATATTTCACACTCCAAGCAGTCAGAGGATAATAAGTTTCCACCTGTTAACATATTAATAGCAGTGTTAAAGAGCACAATGTGCCCGAGGTATTACAAGTCTGTGCAATTTTACATATGTCAAAGAAATGGTTTGCTTGTTAGCAACTAGTTAGAGTATCAAAGCAGAGCGAAATCCACAGGGAAACTAGTTGTGTAATAAGGAAAAGGGGAAATCTTTATTCCTTGAGTCATTTAAAATAACCCCCCCAAAACACTGTATAATATAGCAAGGATTGCCCTCTAAAGGATATTAGATGACCTACAGTAATAGATCATTTCAAACCCTAACGTGTGTGATTACCATGTCCTAATTTTGAATGGTGCACTCAGGAAGAAGAGAGATGATGAATACTAATACAACAAGCCATAGCACAGAGAAAGGGTAACCAGTACTAATTACTGAGGTAACAAGGCTAGGCGGAACATATGGACAGTAATCAATTACATAATTAATCAATTACATAAGTAATCAATTATAGAATTGAAGATGTTGAATTATGTTTCTCAACATAATAACTGGTTGCTTAAATTAGGTTTCTCAGATTATTTTACTTTCTTCCTATAAGTGTCCCCCTCTGTTCGAAAAACTTGAAAGTATTTTAGCACTAAGCTGAAAATCTGAATATGAAAAAATTAAGCAGGGCAAACAGAGCATAATATACTTTACCTAAATTTTTAAAAAGAATATTAAAGCTTTAAAAAAAAGGCCAAAGCCAAAATATAAAAATAGTAACATTTTCATTAAGCTCTTTTATTGCTGAAAAGTCAAAAAATGTTCATAAAAAATGCATCACTGTCTAATGTTCATAACAACTGTACCATTTTGTTTATCATCTTTCTATATTTAATGACTAAGACATGCTAACTTTGAAAATCATGATAACTGTGTTTAGTATAATTGTAAATATTTACACTTCCCTTATAATCTCCTAACAAGTTTGCTTGACTGTATCATACATTTTTTCCTTCAATGAACCAATCCCCGCCCCCCCCCAAAAAAAACCTAAGGAGTCATCAATTAAAAATTGCTAATCTATTGGTTGATTATCCATTGGTGATTCATTTGGGCTATTATTTTTTTTTAACTTGAAAAGTATTCTTAGTGCTTCTTTTAAATTTAAATTCAATTAGCCAACATATAGTGCATCATTAGTTTCAGATGTAGAGTTCAGTAATTCTTCAGTTGCATATAACACCCAGTGCCCCTCATTCCACGTGCCCCCCCTTAATACCCATCATCTAATTATCCCATCCCCCCATCCACCTCCCCTGCAGCAACCCTCAGTTTCTTTCCCATAGTTATAAGTCTCTCATGGTTTGTCTCATTCTCTGATTTCTTCCCATTCTGTTTTCCCCTCCCTTCCCCTATGATCCTCTGTGCTGTTTCTTATATTCCTCATATGAATCATATGATAATTGTCTTTCTCTGACTTACTTCACCCACTTCATCCATTCACGTTGATGAAAATGGTTCATATTCATCCTTTCTGATGGCTGAGTAATATTCCATTATATATATATATATGCCCAAAACATTTATTTCTAATTAATATAAAAGATTATACTTCATGATGACTGAGAAATAGAACCAGCTATGTGTTATAGGTAATTTTTTTTACATTTATCATCCAGAAAAATATGAAAATTATATAAAATCATAGAAGAAGTAAAATAAGGCAAATTTGCACAGTAAACAGTAAAAAAAAAATTGATATTAGAAATAATCATGGTCTCCCCAAGAACAGAAAGGTGCCCTTAACTAACCTTCTATAGTGAAGAAAGACTAAATCCAAACCTTTCTGAATTAATATTAGTCAATCCCAACAGCACATAGGGAAAACCCACATGGTAACCCAATAATCAGGGAAACTGACAAGCAGTCATTATGCTAAATACATGCAGGGAAGGTCTATATAGAGGCATTTTGATCATTTATTTAATATACCAGTTTTCACAATTTAGGTTGAGAAGAACTAGTAGAAGCATGCTACAGAATAGTGAAAATCTGTAGTTTGTGTTTCCTACTATGCAAAAACAGGAAAGTATGTTCTTTAAACAATTCTAAATAGTTTATATAAAACCACATGTAGCAAATGGAAACTGACAGATATATATATAGATATAGATATAACTTATTTATCCTAGCTAGGTTTATAAGGGCCACACAATACTCATGTAAATCTAAGGATACTAAAAGCTCAATGTAAATAATGAGGTCTGTGCCTAAATAATCTAAATTATTTGCCTTTTCAAATGGTGTTCTGCTGGATATGGTTGAACAACACACTGTTAGAAAAAAACTGTCCCATAGCAAATATGTATGCGAAGTTCTGCTTGCACTCTTTAAAAAAAAAATACACAATGATACAGTTTTACCTCATTAAAGGCTCAAGTGATCTAACATAAGTGGGTATAGGCTTTTTTTTTTTTTTGCAGCATGCCAATTAATATTCTTTGGAACAATGTAATTTCAAAGTCTGAGGAGCTCGAAGTAATCAATTAGAGAACTGAAGATGCATCTGCTAAGGGTTAGGAAAACTAGTAATTTGCCATTGCTAACAGAAGGAGCAATAACTCATATTTTTAATACAACAAATAATGTTTTGGAAAGGTTTATTTTAAATTTTAAAAATCCTGTTGTTTATTCTAAAAGAAATTAAATAGAAAACCATTAGGTTATACTACAGTTTCCTTTATAAAAATTATTTCTAATAAAATATTAGTAAAAGTATATGAATATTGTTGCTTTATTTTATTTATTTATGTATTTATTTATTTGCTTTATCAAGCTGAAACTATTATCAAAATACTGTGTAAGACATAGATTAAACATACCATTCAAACTATTTGGAACTTAAAAAAAATTCAAATCAATTTCTCTCTTGAGATTTTTTTTACCCAGATAAACAGCGTCTGGCAAAGATAATTTTAAACAATTGCTCAATAATTTTGTAGCTATTGCAAACACATTTTGCCTAAACCAGAGTAATAACGTGTAACTGGTATCTGTGATTCATTCTCCATACAAAATTGAAATGCATTTGAAAAGTCACTCAGATCATATTATTCCCTTCTCATTATATGGAGTCAACAATTCAAACATGTTGCCATGTCATGAAAGGACTTTTTGCAAACTGGTCTTTCTCTATTTTTGAGTTTATATTCTATCATTCACTTTCTTAGGATTCAACAACATTGGCTTTGTAATGTCAGAGTTGCCAGACTCAGTCTTACCATAGGGCTTTTGACCTCTCCGTTCACTCTGTCTGGAAACTCTTTCTCTAGACCTTGATAAACCAACTTATTCTAGTATAGAATGCGGCTGATTTAATCACCACATCTCAAAGAGGATTTTGTTAACCATAATACCTAAATAAGCACATCTACAGTCTTTGTCATTGCAACATAATTTCTTTTTGTACTAGAGGTTTGCACTACCTGAAATGATCTTGTTTTTTTCTCTCTCCATCAGAATATAAACTCTGAGAAGTAACTTGTCTGACTTCTTCACAACTTTATATCCAGTGCCTGGAAAAGCACATGACCCATAAATATACTTAATAAATATTTCAGGAATGAATGACAATCACCTGGATTAATATATCATGAAAACGTAAATTTGGATTAATTTAAAAATTCCTAGAATGTATACAATTAGCAGTCTTAGAGTAAATGCCTTTTATTTGCATCATTCCCCTAAGATACATATTTTAACTCAAAAAAGATAACTTTATTCCTCATTTAAATAATGTGAGCTTCTTCCTCATAGAAATTCATATAATTCAAAGGCCATAATAAAAACTCAATTTTTTCTTACTCAGTTTTATTTCCAAGCATTGTTTTTGTTAATGAAATATAAAACAATGAGTGAAGTAGGCAACTACAGAAATCAGAATGTGTGGTATAGAACGGACGTAGTGGATCTCTATTAATTACATGTAAATAAAACAGTAGACATCTTGATTGCTAGGAAAAAATTAAGTTGTGTCCATGGTTCTGGCAAACCCTCCTTGCATGGCATGGCCAATGATATATTTTGTATAATAAATATTCTGCTGGTAACTTATATTTCCAAAATGACCTTTGCATATCAAATTCTAATTATATAATAGTCCTTTCTTAATGTGGAATGTAGCTATTTTACACAAGTGCCAGCCACTAGAACTTTCTGTGTGGTATAAGAGCCCAATTTTCAAGACAAGGCAGTGATAGGAATAAACAAAAAAGCCATTAACATAATACTCAAACATGTTCAAATATTAGGTATGATGAATGAAAGTTCTGATTTTCAGGAGATTATAAGCAAATTACTATAGAAACCTTTTTTATTTAATGTTTATATGATAGCTACCATGTGTGACTCAAAATGATAATTATTAAATGACTTCTAAAAGAAGAAATAATATTTTGTGGGGGTCCACACATTTTAGAAAACTGCCTAGTAACATTTGTTAGTGGCTGTTGTGTCATGAATTTCAATAAATTTGTTCACTCTTTCTCAAGCAACTAAACACTGCATTACACCATGAATGATTCTTTTATGAAAATTTAGTCACCTGTGAGTGGCTAATTGTAAAATAGTTTGATGCTGTCATCTATTATATTTTTGATAACTTCTAATAGATCAAGTTAACTAGGTTTGACATCTTCCATCATATCTCTAAAAAAAGATGCTATCACCTAAGAATTGGATATTGATCCTTCTTTAAGTACAGACATAGGACTTGTGTGTAGCTATTATATAGTCGTAGAACATGCATCTCTCAAATTCAGGCAGAAGCAAAATTGCACCTGCTACTTTCCAGCAACAGTGTCACTTTATTAATGTTCCACTCACTAATCTACTTTTTATAATAGTGTGGGAGGCAAACACATATTATAAATTTTAAAGTGCCATATCAGTAAGTGCCACTGAAACCACTGGTTTCCTAAATTCATTTAAAAATCTAATAAAAGTACCCTTTTAGAATATTTGGCAGAGTTATCTATTTGAAAAACAAACACAATTGAGTAATAGTCTCTCTGAAAGACAATATAGATCCTTAAAACTAACTATAGAAATCACAAATATTATATATAATTAAGTCTAAATCATGATTCAGGTTTTTTTTTCCTCCAGATGACACAAATACAACTCAAACTCTGTTTCCATAACGTGTGAAAGTATTTGTTCAGGAACTCTTTTAACTAGGAGTCATTAAATCTCAAAACAAAGTGACAAACTTTGATCATTCTTTATTCCTTTTGTACTTTTGTTTTGGGGGCTTGCAACAAAAGAGCAGGTTTATTTTGTTTGTTTGTTTATTTGTTTTAATTAAGACAATGCAACTTTTGGTAAAATACCTTCTATACGGCTAATTTATCAAGCACTTTTTGATTGTGAAGTGGTGCTTTTTCATTTCTATCCACCGCCATATTACTACCTCTCCAAACTGCCCAGAGTTCAAGCTACTTTTTAAAACTTTTTAAAAATTTTATTCATAGCACACATAAAAGTTTATAAAATATAAATGATTAGCTTTGACACATTATGATGAAAACATTAGCCATGTAATTATCACAGCACAGACACCTTAAGTACAGAAGCATCTTCCTTTCCCTATGCATACACCTCTTCTAGACCAGACCACTTTTATATCCAGCCTTAATTCTTTTGCTTACTTCCCCTTCTATAGTCTTACTAGCTAGGTTTGCATACTTAAAACATTAATGTTTATCTTTGTTTTGAAATCTATAAAAATAGTTTTTTCAATATTCATTGCTGTTACATGGAGCTGTAATTCATTAAGTTTTACTAAAATAGGGTATTCTATGTTTATAGCACAATCTTTTAGTCAGGAGGTTTGCTAAAATATTTTATTAATTTTAATAATACACTTGTAGATTCTCAGATTTCCTAGTAGATAATCATAGCCTCTACTTAAATGAAAGTTGGTATACTGTCTTTAATCCCTTTAAATTTTATATCATTTTCTTCCCTAAAAGCATTAAGACTTTAAAAAAAAAAAAGGCATTAAGATTTCCAGAACAAAATTAAGCAGCACTGGTGATACTGGTAACAAGAACTTGATCTTGTTCTTGAAGTGGAAAAAATGTCATTGTTTTTTAGAAACCAAATATTAAGTATGATGTCTTCTACGTAGCTTTTGCAGGTTCATTTAATTTCTTTCTAATTAAGAAAGTTCTCTTTCCACTTTGCTGAGGTTTTTTTTCTTTTATTATAAATAGATTCTGAAATTAATCAGCTTTTTCTTTATTGAGCTAGTGTGAATTTTCTTCTTTTTTCTGTAATGTGGCAAATTGTGATTATTGATTTTTTGAATGTTAAATGAACGATGAATTTCTCAAATAAGCCTCAAATGAGCACATTGCTTTTTATAGATACGGGTTTCTCAATTCTGCTTAACAGTTTTGAATTTCTGACTAAGAAATTGTCAGATTACCTAAAAATAGTATTTTCCTATCCTCTCTTCACTGGGTTTTAGTGTCAAAGTTTTACCGATGGGGGAGAAGCAGAAATAAGTAACTGTTTTTTTATTGTTTCATTATTTGGAAATTTGTGAAATACTGATATTTCTTATTTTAAATGCACATTTGTTAGAAACTGCTAGAAAAGCCAACTGGTCTTAGAAAATTATGGAAAATTTTAATTACTGATTCAATTTCTTTAAAAAGTATATTAATATTCAAGTTTTCTATTTCTTTTTGTGATAATCCTGTTGTACATTCCTATAAATTTCTCTTTTCATTAAATTTTCATTTTTGGCATAAAGTTTGTTTATAATTTTCTTTTATATTTTTAATGTTTATTCTAGAAGATCTAGAGTAATGTTTATTCCTTTTATTCCTGATAATAGTTACTTTTGTCTTTGTTTTGTTCTCTCACATCAATGATTTTTTATAAGTCTATTAAAAAGACTTGGGCATTTTTTTTTTTTAAAGATTTTATTTATTTATTTGACAGAGATCACAAGTAGATGGAGAGGCAGGCAGAGAGAGGGAAGCAGGCTCCCTGCTGAGCAGAGAGCCCAATGCGGCACTCGATCCCAGGACCCTGAGATCACGACCTGAGCTGAAGGCAGCGGCTTAACCCACTGAGCCACCCAGGCACCCTTGGGCATTTTTTTTTTTCCATTCTATACATGTGCTTCCATTGCATATATGCTTATAAACACATATATATTTACATACGTATGCTTTTATAAATTTCTGCTAATTACTAATGCTTTATTAATTCTAATTTCTACTCCTATTTCTATTTTTTCCATTCTTTTATTTTTCTTTGGCTATATATTGCTTGTGTTCTAACCTCTTAAAATGGATATACAGGTTAGTAATAGCTTCATTTTAAAAAATATAAATATATAAGGCTATTAATTTCTCCCAAGTAGAACTTTAACTGTTTAACACAAATTCTGATAGGTAGTGTTTTATTATCTTTCAGCTTAAAATATTTTCTAATTTCCAATTCTGTGAGACTCTTTTTTCAGTAAGTATTTAGCATTGTGTGTGTTAAGTATGTGTGTATATATATATATTCATATATGTATGTAAATATATATATATACATATATGTATTTCAAAATGTATGGGAATTTTCTCCATTTCATTTTTGATTTCTTGTCTAATTGGACTATAGTCAGAGAACACACATTATATAATTTCAGTCCTTTAAATTTCTTGAAACTTATGCCTAGTTCATAACGTAATCAATGTTTGCAAATATTTTATGTGTTCTTAGAATGATATATTCTGCAGTAGGTGGGTACAATATACTAACAAGTTCATCAGATCAGTTTTGCTGATTTGTTATTCAAATGTTCTATATACTATTTAAGTTTTGTCTGTTTTTTTCCAAATAACAACACAGTAAAAAGAAAAAATGTTAACATCTACTATGATCATGCATTTTTCTACTTCCCCTGTCAATTTCATGAATTTTCACTTCATATGCTTTGAGGGCATCTTATAGCCACATACAAATTTGGAACTGCTATGTCTTCCTTCCTCATGAATTAGATTTTTATACATTTGATATATACAGATAATCTTCTTTATCTATCCTCTTTATCTCTATAATGATTATTACCTTAAAACCTATATTCCTGATAATTGTATCAAGCAACATCAGCTCTCTTTTGTTTAATATTTGCAATTATATGCCATTTCTATTCTTTTCAAACTTTCTATATTCTTTGTTATAGATGTGTTTCTTATGAGCAAGTTAATAAAAGCAAAAAATGAATTTTGTTATGTCTCCCAGTTTTAAACTGAAACATTCATTCCATTTAAATTTAATAGAATTATTGCTTAGTTTATGTTTAAAGTTAAATTTTGTTTTTTTAGCTTTATTGAGATATAATTGAAATATAGTATTACGTAAGTTTAAGATGTATAATGTGATGATTTAATCCATTTATATATTGCAAAATGATTATCACTTTAACACCTCTATCACATCTCATAATTATCATTTCTTTTTGTACAGAGAACATTTAAAATCTACTTTATTAGCAACTTCAAAGTATATAATACAGTGTTCTTAACTATACTCACCACGCTGTACAATAGATCCCCCAAACTTACTCATCTTAAAACCAGAGGTCTGTGCTTTTTAAGCATCATCTCCACATTTCTGCAATCCCCAACCCCTGACAACCAACATTCTAATCTCTGTTTCTACAAGTTAGACTTGTTTAGACTCCACATATAAGTGGTATTATACAGTATTTGTCTTTCTCTACCTGACTTATCCTATATACATCTTATATGCTTTCTGTTTGTCCCATTCAATTTCTATCTCCTTTCACCTTTTGCTTTCTTTTGCATTTATTAAGAAAAAGAAAAAGATAAAAACGTGTCACTCTGATAACTTGGAATTTACATATGCTTATTTTCTTATGGCAATCAAAAGAACAGCAACTGCTCTGTTCTCTCTCATGTCGTGAATCTTCCTGTTCCTTGTTATATGTCACGATGTACTGCATATTATACTTGAATAGTCATTTGTGAAAATATCTTAGGGTCAAGAATGATGTTATCTTTATTCAAAAATGACTCTTTTGCTCAATTTTGTTTGCTTGTTTTTGCCAGCAATTAGAAATCTAGAAATCTCTTAATTCTTGTTAAGAGTTTGAGATTTTTTCAAAGTACGAAAATGGCATGAAACTAGGAAAGAGTCCTTTCAAAAAATCAAGCAATTTTGAAAACACCCTTACTTTTAGGGTATAGCCGTTTGCAATTACAGTGCTAAGTACTCTTATTTCTCACTGTGGTCCACTTAGCCCTTTGACTTTTTCAAAAACACAGCTCAGCTTCTCACCTATATATATTGATATATATTGGCAAATGCTTCCAGGAAATTTCCAAGTTCTTGGCTCAATTATACATTCATACATATATAAATACATATACATATGCATATACATATACATGCTTTTTGTGTTTGGCATTTTTGACAAGATTTTTAAAGATTTCTTCTGTCATTTTAGTGTCTTCAAAGAGAGAGTTGGCATCAACTAGCTAATCTACCTTTACTGGAAGAGAAAGTCCTTGAGACTGAGCTATCCTAATGATTGAAATATACAGTATATAGTTTATAATAGAAATATATATTTTGAATACATACTTAGGATAAGAGTATTCTTTCCTTTCTAACATTTTCTGGCCTTAGTAATAATTTGTATTATCATAGTCTTGCCATTATTATATTATATGTTTGATTTCAAATATTATCATGTCTCCTAATAAATCCAAATCCTCAGTATATATAGCTAAATTTGTGGCTGTATATATCTTCCCTTATTCTCTTAGTCACTGAGCTGACAGAGCTGGTAGTTGGACAAGTTGAGATCAGGTACTTTTTTCTGCAGGGAGGAATAGTTCTTTGACACAGGTACTCACAGGTTCTTAGAGCACTTATTTTTATCTTTTCAAAGAACCAATACATACCCAAAAAATACGTATGGATAGCTGTATCATTTAAATGTGTAATACACATACCAACATTCCTCCAATGCCTTAATGGCAGAAAATATCTCTAAACCATTTGTCTTTAATTAATTAAATGTAATTGAAAGGAAACAAAATTTAATACACAATTTTCCAAGTGACCTCTTAGGTAGCATTATTATCTGTTTAGAGTTACTCAAGTCAGAACACTTACTTCTATATTAAGAACTTCTTATATTTATAACATATATCTCTTATGCTCAGAGTATTTTTAAATAATTTTAAGACTGAAATTTTAGACATTAAAAATAATTTTTATGATAAAGAGTAA